AGAAAGGGAGTGTGCCTCCTTTTTGGGTCCTCTTTTGATCAAAAACCATCCACTTCCCAAGCCTGACACCCCCATGTTTGCTATTTTCCATGTTCTATTCAACCAGCTTGCCTAATCCCCTTCATCCCCCTTGTTTGCCTGTCCCCCTGCAATACCTTCCCCCCATATTGACCTTGCACCTGGCTCTTATAACAAAATGTGTGCTGCATGTATTAGTTTCATGGTTCATGATTTTTTCTGTTTTTTGGAATTAAAATTTCAGTAGAAAATGTGTTAAATACAGTTGATGCACCTTGAAGTCTAAAGCACTTAAAATGTTAGTGCCATGTTACTTTAACATGTTAACAGCAACGAAGGTAAGGTGATTAAAATGCTAGGCTTCAATGTATCAGAACACCTAAATCCAATGATAGTTCTGAACATTGCCAACATTTACTTATAGAATTATAGTAGAAGGTGGACCTACCAAAGCTTGAAAAGCTTATAGTAATGATCATTTAAGAAGATTTTGTTTTTGGCGTTAAAGCTGAATTGCTTAAAAGCATTCAGTGAACAATAAAAACCTACAAAATATGTTACAGAACAGGCAGTAGGATCAGTCTGTGTCAGGAGAAAATAGATGGGAGTAATACTCCTGGAAAGTGCTGTGTGAGCTGTTCACTTGCTTCGGGTGGATGTACAAAATCCTATGACACTGTTTCAAAGAAAAACAGGAAGCCGTAGCTCCATTCCAGAACTTGGGCCTGTAATCCAGGCAAATAATTCCTGTGCTGCAATACTGCTGCATTAGAGCTGTTTTTTTTTGTATTCACTCATAGGATGTGGGCAATCTGGCTGGCCAGTATTTTATTGTCCGTCCTTAGTTGCCCTTGAGAATGTAGTGGTGAGCTGCTTTCTTGAACCACTGCAATCCACGCGCTGTAGGTTGCTCCACAATGCCATTGGGGAAAGAATTCCAGGATTTTGAATCAGTGACACTGAGGGAACGGTGATATATTTCTAAGTCAGGATACAGAGTGGCTTGGAAGGTACTTGCAGGTGGTGGTGTTCCCATGTATCTGCTGCCCTTGTCCTTCTAAATGGAAGTGGTCATGGGTTTGGAAAGTGCTGTATAAGGATCTTTGGTGCATTTCTGCAGTGCATCTTGTAGATAGAACACGCTGCTGCTACTGAGCAGCAGTGCAGAATGGAATGGATGTTTGTGGATGTAGTGTCGATCAAGCAGGGTGCTTTATCCTGGATGATGTCAAGCTTCTTGAGTGTTGTTGGAGCTACACTCATCCAGACAAGTGGGTAGTATTTCATCACACTCCTGACTTGTACCTTGAGGATGGTGGCCAGGCTTTGGAGAGTAAGGAAGTAAGCTACGCGCCAAGTATTCCTCATCTCTGATCTGCTATTGTAGCTTATGTGCTTATATGACAAGTCCAGGTGAGCTTCTTGTCAATGGTAACCACAATGACATAGATATTGGGGGTTCAAAGAGTTTCAAAGAGTTGAGGGTTGGATTGTCTCTTATTGGTGATGGTCATTGCCTGGCATTTGTGTGGCATGAATGTCACTTGCCACTCTTCAGCCCAAGCCTGGATATTGTTCAGATCTTGTCACATTTGAACATGGACTGCTCCAGTATCAGAAGCGTCTTGAATGGTGCTGAACATTGTGCAATCATCAGCAAACATCCCCACTTCTGACTTTATGATGGGGGGGTAAGGTCATTAATGAAGCAGCTAACAATGTTTGGGCCAAGGCTACTACCCTGAGGAACTCTTGCATAGATGTCCTGGAGCTAAGATGACAGACCTTCAACAACCACAACCATCTTCCTATGTGCCAGGTATAACTGCAACCAGCGGAGAGTTTGCCTCCTGATTCCCATGGCCATTCCCACTTTTGCCAGGGCTCCTTGATGTCAAATATGGCCTTGAATTCAAGAGCTGTCATACTCACCTTATTTTCAGGTAATAATTAAACAACGCCCCCTCAGTTTCTTCAGGTGGGTTTAGTGGATCCCATGGCATTATTTGAAGAAGGTCTCTTTTTCAGTTAAAAACAGTGATAAGTTCCACTCAATGGGAAATGAAGAACTTGCCCTAGGAGGAGCTAACCAGTCTGTAAGATGTTATCCCAGTGCTAAGTTCCATGTAACTAAACAGTAAAGTGTAATTACTCTTCAGTCTAACCAGAAGTGCCACCAGAGACTGTCACTTAACTCTGTTGTAATATAAATACCTATTAAATACTATTTAATAAATCTATTCTGTTCAACATAAAATGGACTCACTTCGGCCAAAGTGTGGAGCTGGAGGAACACAGCACGCCAGGCAGCATCAGAGGAGCAGGAAATTTGACATTTCGGGTCGGGACTGTTCTTCAGAAATGAAGAAGGGTCCTGACCTGAAATGTCAACTTTCATTAAATATTCAGCATTTTAAAAGCCCACAGAGCTAGTCAGCAAAAGCAGTCTTCAGTAAGTAAGAAGGCTGTGGAAGCAATTGTACTACTAATCCTACTGCAGAAGCTAAAAACAACCAGAAATACTGAAGTATACTGAAAAAAATGTGCAAACCATGGGCAGTCTCACTAAAGTTAGGATGGGAAATATCCAAGCCATGAACCCAGGATAAAGCAGTCAATATTGGACTTCCAAAATAAGGTAAGTCCCTTAGAAAAAGAGTGAAAAATTTTATATCGAAGAAAAATTCTAGACTGAGACGCTAAAAGAAGGCTTAAATTGCTATACCTAGTAAATAAGCATCATATTAATTACTTAAAATGGTCAGGAAAAGTTACAAAAAAGTTAGAGAAAAGGACACACATGAAGTACATCATTAAATCAACAGAATGATTGACTAGAGTGAAATTGCGAAGGCAGAACACAAAGAGGTTATTAAACATTACCATGTGGCAGTAAAAGTAACTTTTTGTGGTGGAAGATAAAATCCAAAACAGCACAGGTGAAAGATCGGAACAGGAAGTCAACGTCGATCATGAAGATCATCAAACTTTGTCACCTTTCTGAGGTATAAAAGCATCAGTGCATCACATGATAGACCATCACAAAGTCTTCAAAATTTTTGATGTTAGAAATTACTATTTGAGATAATGGAGTTGACAATCACATAAATAGAAAGAATATCTATCTTTGTTACACCAATGCAACTTTTATGAAGAAGTGGGACATTTCCAGAGAATGTGTAAAAGTCAAAGATGATCTCTTGACTCACAGAATTGTTCATTTTTACTTGCACAAAGTAACTGAAAGTAAGCATCTTTGGAAAAAAAAGGACCCACATTATCAGGATTTACATTCATTTGACAACATATCCTGATATGATGACATTCCACCTTTGGAAGAGGAAATTTAGCCATTCCTTGGGGTAGTAAGCGAGTCATCTAAACCAGATATAGCAGAGATCATATCAGTTAACAGACATCCAAGTTGTTTCAAACTTGACAACAGGGCGAGTACTATCTGAAATTACCCTTTGGTTGAAAAGAATTAAACTCAGATCTTGTAACAAGAACTGCATGCACTGACAGAACACCACTCCAAATCAAAGGAATGCTGAGTCTTAAAACACAGAGGCTAATTCTGTGCAAAATAGGTGTATGTCGTCAGAATCTGACACTTCTCACATATCAGCAGAAATGCATGCTTTGCTGTCAAAATTCTACATATGTTGACGAACTTCAACTGGCTTAGAAGCCAAATACCAGTGTTCAATCTAACTCTGCTGAACAAGAGGTAGGTCTCACAGGTCTTTGAATAATTTTTGCTGAACCCAAGAGAAGATAAAACGAGGTTTATCATGTTGGTGTCTGACAACTGTTAACAACTAAAGGATCAAAAGATACTATTGATTTCAAAGGTTTGGATGGGTTTTTCAATTGTCTTCCAACCATAAATGAAACTTTAAAATCTGAGCGTTGGACATCTTTGACACCACAAGTGATAGGAGTTAGTGGATTCTAGATACAAAAGATTTAATAACCAGAAAAACCTTGGTGGTGGTGGGGGGGAGGTGGGTAGTTGTGGGGTGTGGTGGGTGGATTGTTGTGTAGGACAATCAGGACCTAAAAGGGTAAATGACTTCATAAGATGAACTCTGCCCATCAGGATACAAAGAACTGTTTCTGGGAGGAGCTAAGCAGTTGTTCTAAGACAAGTCTCGAAGATATTGTTCTAGTACTAAGTTCCATGAAACTAGACAGTAATGCATATTTACTCTTAAGTCTAATCTGAGAGGTAATGTAATTAGTTATTAGGTTCCATGTAATAAACATATTGTGTTCAACAAGATAAGGTCTGACTTCTGCTGAAAGCTTCATATAAGTCTCCTCCAAGGGAGGATGGCGTGAGCACTTAGTATCAATAACAAGGATTGGTGCTTGTGAATCTAACCAAGAAATCTCAGCTGGTTCTGGTGGATATGAACACAGTATTTACCATCCTTGATAATAGTTGTTCATGAATCAACTGTTTCAAAACATCATTATTTGGTCATTCATCTCCTGCTGTTGTGGGCCGTTCTGAATACATGTTGGCTCTGCTTTGGCCTACTAGCCCAGCAGCCACAGTACTTTAGAAATAACTAATTGAGCATGCAGTTTCTGAAATTATGAAATGTTATATCAATAGAAGTTTCTGCTTTTATAGGAAATGGAATAAAACTTTTGACAGATGAGGGTTTTATAAAAGATACATAAACTGTTGTAGGCTTTGAAATTATTTTATGAATTGCATTGTGTGCATTTAATTCATGTGATATGCAACATTGGCAGTGGTGTTATGCAAGTTTATCATTTTTTTAAAAGTAAATGCAATGATGTTTGTTGTGTATGTGTGAAGTACGTATGCTGGGTGTGAACTGTTAAAGAAAGTGGCCTGCAGACCTCTGCAGATCTAAAATTCATCAATCCAACATTACAAGATAATTCAATATTTTATACCTTGTCTGTGAATTCTTTGCCAACACTTTGACTGTTTCCTATTCTAGACCCTCCCGCAATAATGGAAATTAAGAGTCCTGGAATGGCACTGGGTAAAGCAGGATTATTGCGATGTGAAGCTTTAGCAGTTCCCGCAGCAGCCTTTGAATGGTACAAAGGAGACAAAAAGTAAGTCTACATTCTGACCAAAAGCATATTTTTTGCTTTTTCTCTGCTTAGCTCAGATCCTCATGCCATGTGTTCAACAAAATGGCTGATTGACAGCTATAGTGTTAAACCATTAGCTTGATTTGATACAGAAATGGCTATAATATAACACACAACAGTAAGAATTGAGAGATAGTAAGAACTGCCGATGCTGGAGTCAGAGATAACACTGAAGAAGGGTCCCGACCTGAAATGTCAACTTTCCTGCTCCTCTGATGCTGCCTGGCCTGCTGTGTTCATCCAGCTCCACACTGTTATAACAGTAAGAATTGAACTGTTATTGAACAAGCAACAGCATGTCTTTAAATCAAAAAACAACTTACATTAGAAGTACAGCTAATGTAGGAGTGTAATTCAGGCATTTGTAAAGAAAGATTTGAGCTTCAAGGTGAATGAAAAATCAGTTTTCATAATCCAGATAAGGACAAGTGAGGGATAACACACAGTGTGGAGCTGGAGGAACGCTGTGTTTTCTCTGACTCCAGCATCTGCAGTTCCTACGATCTCTGAAGGACAAGTGAGGAATGTGGCTGGAATCCGGGGAGGTGGGGGGGTGGGTTGCAGTGGTTTGGGGAGAGAGTGGAAATCAAGCAATCGAATACCCTATCTTCTTTCACAAAGGAAGCTAACTGGGTATGATTGGGCAAGACTTTCAATCATCTGTGGGAAAGAGCAGGTGTGGGCAGAGCCTGACAGTACACATATTGGATGGTATGTCAGTCTTCCAATGCATTTCTGATAGAATTTTAGTTTTCTTAAATTAACCCAATTAGAAATGTTATTATTCACTTCTGGAGCAGGTGGGATTTGAACCATGCCTTAAAGATGGCACCTCCATTGGTCCCTCTGACAGAATGTTTAAAAGGGAGTAGCCTGCATGCCTCCAATTAAATTGTTGTTAAGCTCATTGATGAGTTTGTTAATATGCTTGAAGGGGATTGAAAATGTGATTATCTGTTAATAACTGAAAACTGTGTGGAACAAGTAGTGTACAGCTATCAGGACCACAGTGGGGATCCATCATCAACTGTGGTTGCTGCTGAAGCATCTTGTATAAAAAGCAATAGTCAAATTGAGGTGCTGATGCAGTAACACAAAGTGACAAAAGTTTGAGTAGAATATTTTGAATTCTTGAAGAGCGAGCATTTGAACCGTGAAACTGCTGGCTCTCTGGTCTCCTACCTGCTTCATTCCTTAGACATTGTAACCCCAGTCATGCCTGATTTTGGCCTTTAAATATCACCCTTCAATGCTAGTTCTTACCCCCTCAATGCTTAATATGTTTAACTAGGTATTGAACTTGCCTTTGGGACATTAGGGACTTTTTATTTAACAAAAACTCAGATCACATCACATCAAGTCACTGATGTTGACCTAATTTGGATTTGGGACTCAGAAATGATTTGGCCATTAGATGCTTGAACCCTAAATGAAAATCCAGTTTATAACCAGTTAATAAATTTAAAATACTGATGCATTGTAAAGTCCAGCACAAAAGATCAATTGAGACAGCAGAATACTGCAAAGCCTATAAATTTGAACTTTTTTTAAAAAATGCATTGATCCTTGAGTATTTGCATGGGCAAGGTATTAGAACCAGTTAGCCAGCAATGGCTTGAGGTGGAAATGGAAGAGTGGAATGAAAGTGAAAAACTATGTATTTTTATCATCCATTTTTCAACTTTAGAGATTTTCTGTTTTTCATGTAATGAAACTCAACATGGGCTTGAGAAACAGCACCTCATTTTTCAATTTGACACTTTAGGGACTTGCAGACTTTACATTCAATTCAATAATTTTAAGTCTTGAGTTCAACCCCACCCAGAGAATTTGAGTTCAATATATAAATAAATCATTTTATAGCAGGAAGAGAGGGATAAAATAAACCGTAAAAACAGATTTGGTGAAAAGGAACAACAAAATACAATGGGATGAAAATCAGAATCGTATGAAATTGAAACATAATTCATATTTCTAATAACTGCTGGGGAGAAAATTCAGGTGTCGGGAAAGTAAACAGTATATGATTCCAAAACAGTCGCTCTTGGAATTTTAAAGCCATTCATTTTACGTAGCTCACATTACATTCATTCAACAAAAGTTTGGATAATGTTCTTAGTGTTCCCAGAGGTATATTATGGATGCTCACGGGAGTTAAATTAATTTAGTTGTGCACTTTGGCTCTGTCTCATAGTAGTCCTTACCAGCCCCCAGCCGCACCCCACACTGTTGAAAATAATCTTGTTTTCAGTGAGAATGTGTTTTTAGTTCAATACTACACAGCTTCTACTTTAGTGCAGAATTGAAAGACTGTGATTGCTTTGTTTTATGATGGTTGTAGCTTTTTAATCACTGTACTTGTTTCTGTCAATCCATTAGGTTGGCCTCTGGTAGGCAGGGGATTCAAATCAAGAACTTCAGTACCAGATCAATTCTCACTGTTACCAACATTACAGAGGATCACTATGGCAACTACACGTGCGTGGCTGCTAATAAGCTAGGGACAAGTAGTGCCAGTCATTTTCTACACAGTAAGTCATATGAAAGATTCCTACATTTACTATTTCAAAACGAAATGGGCTTAAAAGAGTTAGATTTATAAACTTCCCATTTTATTTCACAAATTGTCATGATATTTCAATGTTTGTGTCAAGATCTATGTAAGTCCATTTAAGCATTCCTCCTTTTAGTTAATTCACCAATTGAATGATTCACTTGCTCAATTTCTTGTGTACCTCATTTCAGTTTTCATAGATATTTCCATTCCTGATTTGGACTCCAGTGAACTTATGACCAGAGAACAATTGCATGTAGACCAATAGATGACCTGAGAGAAATATGTTGCATTCTTATGCCCTGGACTTCAATGACATACTCCATTTACATGGCAGCAATAGGCATTTTTAAGTAGCAGAATTAAAGATGGATTTGGAGGTTGGAGGGGGAGACAGGAAACTCATAATCCATTAGAGCCACTAACTTCAGTCAGTATCAAAATTTTTTCCCAGTAATTCCTGTGCAATTTCCCCTGTTGCCAAAAATAGATTCTCCTCTTCCTGCTGACTCCAATCTTTGCAACCTTCTAAGAGGTATTTTATTGCCTGACTGCCTCAAGCTTTTACAGATCTTTGTTTCGATTTTAAAAGCCTCATTGCAATATTAGCTTTTTGTCAAACCTGACTACCCTACCACCCCAAGAGATTAACCCACTTGCCCAACTTGGCAGTGCCTTCAAGTTCAAATGAATCGAGTTGTCGCAGTAGCAGAATGTCAAATTATCTTTCATTCTCCAGACACCACAACTGAAATCTAATATAGACCTGCCAGCTATGTAGTGCTGTGAGTTTAACCTCTTGAGAGCTAAGTTTAACTTGATAGTAGCATTTTTAACACTGTAACACTAAGGTCCTCCTGTGACTGCAGTCTAAAATAACAAATGGAGCAGTGTAAATAAGTTTTTTTTTAGTGGAGTATCTAGAAATGTCTAAGCAATAATCACATACTCTAGGGCAAATATCCTGCCTGGGGATATAAATGCTACAAGTAAGACTTCAGTCTGCATCCTGTATGTTAATGAGGTTGCCTGTCATGCCCAGTAAATTGTACAGTATTTGGATGGAGGATCTACTGCTTCCATCTATTCTGAACAAATATGAATTAGAATGCTTGGTACTACACCCTGTTTGTTACTCCCTCAAAAATCTTTCATAAATTTGTCAACCATGATTGTTCTTTCCCAAAACCATGTTGACTCAGTCTGATTGCATTATGATTTTCTGAATGTCCTGCTGTCTCTTCCTTAATAATAGAATCCAGTATTCACAGAATGATGTTAGATTAATTGACTGAGCCTAACAAATTTTATCTTGTATGCAAAATGTTCATGAAGCCTGACTGATCCTTTAGTTATCAAAAAGAGTAGGAGTTTTGTAAATATGCAGAGCATAGTACTTCAAATCACAGCCTCTGGGGTTCAACACCAGTACCATAACAGAACAGTAGCCCATTCTGGATACTGCATAGTAAGGTTCTAAAAGGAACAGGATTATTTTTGTTGAGACACAGAATGTAGCAAATATGGCTGGTGAGCTGCTAGTTTGCACAACTATGTAGAAATATTGGTCCGAATCTTCTGACCTAGGGAGAGACCTGAATCAAACTTGAAGTTGAGTCAAGACCTTTGCCTACATCAGAAGATTTGGGCCAATTTTTCCACAGAGCTTTCTGAACGTGTGTCATTGATCCATGTCATGACACTGAGCAATTTCCAAAGGATACTCGTCCACGGTACTTATGTGGGATTGCCGGTTTACTCTGTCAGAATTCTCTGTGTTTCCAGTGACAGTGGGACCATTTGGCTAGAATCACAGAGACATGGGCTGTTTTGGTGAGACCGCTGGTTTTCATTCAGACTTGCTCAGTGTTTCTCACAATAGGTATAAAACCTACATTAATCAAAATCAGCTGAGGAGTCAAAGCACTTCAGCACTGACATCAATGTTCCACCATGTTCCAGCAATGTTCAACACCACGAGACAGTGGGCCTGTCATGTCTACTCTCACCCCAACAAAATTCATCCCCTCCCAGCAATGTTCACAATCTCTCCCAGCAATATTCATCCACTTCCCCAAAAAAAAACACCCTTGACCCCAAGCAGTGGTCAACTGTCTCCCAGTAATGTTCATTAATGCCCCCTCCTGACAATATTCAACTCTCCCAGAACATTGCATCAGTCAGACACCCCAGCAATATTCAGCCTATTTCCCAGCAATGTCTACCCCAGGTTCAGCAACTCCAGACAGTGCTCAACCAATCTCCCCACCCATCAACATTGCTGAATCCCTCCTGCACCCCCTGTCCTGACTCACCGTCTGCCCAGTGCCGGGATTTCTAGAAGAATCAGCATTGACAGGGAGTGGGAGGATGGGAAAATGAGCATTTTTATGCGGTGAGCGGGAATGAATATTGTCAAGGGATGAAGGAGGATGTGAACATTGTTGGGAGGTGGTCAAGAGAGTTCTGAGCATTTTCAGGGGTGGTGAGACAGTAGCACTGTCAATGAAGTGAGTTTCTGAAATGGTGGTGTTGACAGGTCATTTAAAACCGTGTAAGTCAGTGGAATGAAGACAAACCTTAAATGGGCATGTCATCTTGTTCATGGTGAGAAGGGAGTGTGGCTGCAATAGAATGCACTAAGCAATTAGCATTCCAACTCTGTTTAGAACTACTGGACTTGACATCAGAAGGCACGATGAGTTCTAGCGTAAAATTGTATGCGGGTATTATAAGTTGCAGTTAGCACAGGTACACCCTTTTTGATGCTGACCTGAAGATCTGGGCCATGATGTCATGGCAATAATAGAGACCTGGTTCTCAAAAGGCCAGCGCTTGGTATCAATTAACTGGGGGAATGTCAGCTCTACTGGGGTGAGGATAAAACTGGCCCAATAAAATAGAATCAAAGCCCATGCAGGGAAAACGATGACAGAACAATGGGCTGGATTTAATACTTCAGCTATGGCCAAAGTACGTTCACGAAGGGAGTAAAACAAATCCCTGGATGACAAAAAAAGGTAAAATGAAGCAGAAAAAGAGCGCATATGACAGCTTTCAGATGGACATTATAAGAAAGAAGCAGCTTAAATATGAAGGTTCAGAATGGAAGTGAAACAAGAACTGAGGCAAGCAAAGAGAGATTAAGAGTTTGACACTGAACACTGAGGAGATGGAAATGTCCTATATAGCATTATACATGGTAAAAGTGATACAAGAAGAAGAGTGGGGCCAATGATGGACCTAAAGGAAATTTATGTATTGAGGCAGCAGACCGGACTGAGGCACAAAATGAGTATTTTGGATTTGTCTTTACCAAGCAAGAAGATCCTGCCAACGCCATGGTAAAAGAGGAGGTTTTGAGACATTGGATGGGATAAAAATTGATAAAGTGTAGATATTAAATAGCTTGCTGACTTGATAAGCTGCTAAGCCACTGGAGCTCATGAGGAGCTTCCTAGGATGCTGAGGAAAATTGCAGAGGCCCAGACCATAATCTTCCCATTCCACTTAGATACCTGGGTACTGCCAAAGGACTAGAGAATTGTAAATGTAACAGCCTTATTTATAAAGGATGTAATGACTAGTCCAGCCAGTGACCATAACCTCAGAGGCAGGAAAACTCTGAGAAACAATCATTCAAGATCAAGTCAACAATCATTCAAATTAATGTGGATGAATCAAAGATAGCCAGCATGGATTTATTAAGGGCAGATGATGCATATGTAACTTTCTGGAGTGTTTTAATTAGCCAATAATGTTTTATGAAGATAATATGGTTGTTGTGGTGCACATGGTGTTCAGGTCCTGTTAGACACTGGTTAATATTTAAAGAAAATTCTGAACACACTACAATTAACTGACAGAACTGCGTAACAAAATTTCACATTTTAAAAACAAAGTACTCCCTATTAATTTAACACTGTAGCGCAAAGAAACTTGCATTCCAAACTTAGTTCAACCTCCACACAGTTTCAAGAGCTCCCTTATCTTGGACCAAACCAAAGGTATATGGTATCTCACAGCTGATGGCATTAGTTCTGATTTCTTTTCAGTATTCCAGTATTCTCCAAGGTACAAGTTTTCATGGGGTTCCTTCCATCATAGCTTTTGGCTAAGCAGCCTTCAATTTCTTTCATGACTTTGAATTCCATGACTCAAACCTCCTGGCATTTTCTGAGCAGTGGCTTAAAACTTCAGGAAATACCCTAATTGCTAATAACCTGCCACTTTGGTTTCAGACTGCAACAAAGCTGATACTTGCAGAACTACATTTTAACTACTTTTTATTGAGAGGATTATAGTAGATCTCTTCCTTTAGCTTCCAGCGAAGTAAACTTTCCACTTTTTTATTCCTTTTCTACCCTTCATCTTGTACTGAACATCAACTCCCTATTGCAGGCTTGTCATGGATGATGGATCTATTCCAAAGGTAGGCCTGGCTTCAACTCTCAATTTCAAACGAGCCAAAAGCTACATAAGACCCGAAGCTGACATATTATCTTAGCTGTTCTTCCAAACGTCACCCAGTTTTGCCTGCTGCTATACTCAAACTGATTTCACAGAGGTAAACGAAAAAAGAAAAAACAATCCCACTAAACTCCATCCATCTCTGTGGAAATGTGACACACATGGCCCATTCCTAGTGTTTTGGTTAAACCACAACACTATGTAAGAATGCCGATCTGCTACCTTTAATTCCAAAGCTTCCCTTCATTCTGAGAGACCACATGAATAACATATCCTTTACTACGTGACTAACATATCCTTTACTGCAATAACTGCACATGTTGCATTTCCAGCTGTTTAGCTAACTAAGCACACCTGCCATTTTATAATTTTACTTTTGTAATTGTAATTATCTTAAGTCTGTATGGTGTACAGACCTAAAATATTTACCAGGTTATGCTCACAGAACTTAATTTTAAAATTCTACTTTTAATCTTAAGAAAATATATCTCTAAAACTTATAAGCTA